CATTCAGAATGGTGCCAAGGACTTTACCCTGCCATTTTCACATGCCAGACACATTTCCAAAGGAGGGTTTCCAGCAATAAAGTATTTCATATCAGATGCTTTGATACAGAAATTGCAATCAACATTTTGCTGTGAAATAGAATCTAGCCACAATATATCTGTTTATCTGCACTCCTTTGCTTTATGCTTCCTGGTACATCCTTGGCCCCTGAGTGAAATCTGTTGAAGTTAATGAGTCCCTTCCTACCATGCCCCGTCCCCCTTTTTCTCCCTCCTGCACTTCCCATCAACTTTGAATCCGGGCATGTTTTACATAATACAGACATTTTTCAATATGAATCCGGGCATGTTTTACATAATACAGATGTTTCTCAATATGTTTCAAAGGCTTAGGAAGTCATTGTGTGTGTGTGCGCCAGCTATTTAGGCTTGTATTCCTTTTAGCAATGTTTGCATATACACTACATTCATTTTTTAAATTAGACTGAAGTCTAGGAGCTGTTTCTGTGACCCAAATTATGAAGAAACATGTCCCGTATTGTAAGGGACAGTGGCTAGTTGGTAGCCTTATGCATAGTTGGTACCATCTCACCTGTCTGGCAAGGAGATGAAAACTGTTTGCAGAGATGGCAGGTGGCAAGCGTCATCTTGTTGGTTTCCTGCCTCCAGGTGTCTGAATTATTAACACTTTTCTTACTGAGCCCACCCCCTCTGCCGCATATGCACACATACATTTCAACAGGTCTCTTTGAATACAATAGCACTCAACATTTCCACCTCTGTTTATTTTCCATCACACCTTGATAAGGGGGAAAGTCACCTGTGGAGGGCACAGTGGTCAGAGTACCAGACAGCTAGGAAGGTAAGGACACCTTCTGTTTCCAGGTTGTGGAAAAATTGGGTAGAAATGATGTCTGTCAGTAAAGGTAAATCCAGATGATGAGAACTGATCATTTTGACTGAATTCTGTGCTGTCTTAGACATGAAATATTTATTTACTTGCAGCTGATAAAATTTAATAGGTACCACAAAGCCTCAAAAGGCACTTGAAAGGAAAATGAAGTGTGTGTGTGTGTGTGTTATCTTGCAAATTATTTACAATATATAAGTGTAAATATTGGTTCTTTTCAGTTGGTGATCTACTAAGACTTATTGGAGTGACCATGCACGTATACTATTTTCTCTAAGGCTTGGGGGTTGTTTGGCTTCATGACATACATGGCTTGAAGAAACCAGATAATATTTGGACCTTTTGTACTAGGTGCTGTAGAGGCACAGAATGAGAAATAAGGAGTCTGCAGTGAGCTTGCAGTCTAATTAAGCCTATAATAGTGTCCATCTCTTTTGGTTTCTCTTTTCCAAAACCCTTTGAAATGTCAAACCTGGAAAAGAAGTTTGTCTTTCAATTTAAAATACAGCTGGAACTTGGAGTGCTATATAAAACATCATAGCTTTAATTACTCAAAAATAGGGTAGTGCAGTTCAGTGTGGTGCTACCAGCCTGTTTCTTTATAGAGTGAAATAAGGTGAAGTGTGAAGTCTGTAAAAGAGATAATATAAAGATCAGGGGAGAACACATCAAACTAATTCTAACACCTAACAAATCCAGAGCATAAATCACTGGATATCATCTTGAAATGACTTCTTTATGGTAGGATCATCATTTAATGAGGAAGACGGATCTTGCTTGCATTTCTCATTTTATTTTTAGTCTCGCTGCTAGGGAATAAGAGAGTTATAACCTTAATCCTTCTTCTTTTCCACAGATCATACAATCATAAAAATTAGATATGGAAAAGACCTATTAGGCTGTCTTGCCCTGTCCTGTCTTCTTGAGGATTCTATTCTCTGATACAAATTTAAAGCCTTGTCTGGTAAAGTCTTAAACATCTGGGGTTTCATTCAGGAGGCTATCCCATGATATAACAACATAAAGGTTTGAAGTGATTTTTTTCCTTTAGAGAATCTCTTCATGATTGTTTGGAAAATGCTTATCATAGTGTGGTAAATAATATAGAGCAAAATAGTGGTAAATAATATAGAGCAAAATAGTTGTTAGGAAAGTATTTAGCTGCTACTGAAAACAATGCAGCTCCAAAACTCAGAACGTCTTTCCAAAATCCCTTCTGCTTAACTCTGCAAAACCTAGTAGCTGCATTTAATCCTTCAGAGACAGCTGGATGAGACTTTGAAAATAGCAGAATAACAATCTCATATCCCATCTACTCAGGATGCCAAACAAAGCAGACGGTTTTGTGTATGAAAGATTGCAGCCGTCAAAATGGAAATGACTTGTTTGCTCAGCTCTTTAATCTATTTTTTCTTTCTGGGTTAACAGAAATAATTTCTTTTCTGTTTTGTTTAGCAATTTCCTTCCAAACAAAACAGCATTCTTCACCCAACTGTTTATAGAGTTTTATGAAATCATTGCAAATTCACTGTGAAATCACAAATCACTGTAAATTGTGAAATATTGAGCTCTAAGCCCGGGGGATCAGATCTCATTTACAGTAAAGCCTCTTATGCTAGCAGCGTAACAGCACCTTGAAATGGGCATAGAATAGATAGCATTGCCATAGTGTTAGGATTTCCTTTAAATCTAGCCAGTCCCGGGACCAGGCAGGTTGTCACAAAGCAAGAATGAAGAAGGAGAAGAAAAACTAATTGTCCTAATTATCTTTAAATGGTTCACAAGAGCTCTAGGTAATCTTCTGAAACTCTGTTTGGCTTTGACTTCTCCCATCTTTACAAAAACACAGGGGAGGAGGGAAAATGAACAGTTGTTGCAAAGTGTGGAGAGATCTTCTGGTTTTAATTGCAGGTGATAAAATAGATCACAATGATTACAGCCCTGGTGTCAGCAGATATTTTAAAATTAATAATTAAATGTAAATATGATGTCTTTGCTATGTGCTAAATAATGTTTCTCTGCAGGCACACGAGGCTGTAGCTCAGCTAGACAAACACTGTTGATGTCCTGAACAAGAGGACCTCCATTTAAATTATTTCTGATAAACAGATTGCTTAGAAATCTTCTACACTGGATGGTTCCTTGCAAGAAAATTTTGACTGTAATTCAGTCTTGTAGATGATATATTGCAAAAGATGCATTTTTGGGAATAGCTGTATTGCTGATTTCAGATCCTTAAGGCTTGACTATGTTGCTTCTCAATTAGCTCGAGGAGCTGCCATGATCAAGTGACACAAAACATTTCCCCTCTGGGTTTCAACACTGCGTCTGAAGCATCACTCCATCCTAGTAACCAGGGGAGTGAGAGGAGTTTCACTTCCCTAAGCCAGGTTGGTTGATCATACCAGAGTGGCAAGCACATTAAGTTGGAGCTGTGGCAGTCAGGCTGCCAGCCCAAAGGTGAAGCTTTTTCACAAGGGCTAGGGACAGGCATTCAAAAAGTCTGAGCCTGAATTAATTCAGTCTTTGCAGGAGGTTAGTCTAACCTGCAAAGCTTGAACCAATTTGGAGGTAGATAGACATTCCCTTTTCATTCCAGAAATCCAAAACAGCTCAGGCTAGAAGCTGGGGGGCGCTACAGCAGCCCTCCCTTCCCTTGCACAGAGCTGAGCTGAGGGGGGTATGACCAGGCCCCAGCAGGATGCTATGATTAGGGAGGGTTTCCCCCACTTCTGAGCAGCCCAGCAGGGAATTTTTATCACCCCTAACTCAGTGTTTGTCAACCCATTATGAAAACAACAGAGAGACGTTACCAGCTACCTGTTGATTCTATCTTTGTCTGAGTGTGCCACAACTTGGAGGTAGCCAGCATGTGATCTGCTACTTAATGCTGAGAGGTGTCTGTGTGGGACAGGGGAATGCCTGCTTAGCAGAGAGTGGGGAGGGGACGGGATGAGCAGAACCCAGGCAGAGCCTGCAGTCTCTGCCGCATCTGCAGCCAGGAAGCAGAGGGGAGGGGCCAGCCCTGCTGTGAAGCAGAAAGCCCTGCCCAGCCAGAGAGCATGCCGGGATGCTGGGGGAGTCTGACTTAACTTAAATCAGCAAGGGGTCTGGGACAGACATTGCATAAACCGGTTTGAGCCAAATAAGTTAAGTCTGATACTACATTCAACCAGGCTTATCTCAAACCAGTTTCAGACATTTTCAGACTGGTTTATTGGCACTGAACATCTGTTCTGTTACAGGTGTAAACCAGTTTCTGATCACTTAAACTGGTTTATGTGTAATGTCTGTAACTAGCCAAAGTGTATACCTGATTGTCCAAGACTGTTTCTCACACAGGGAACCAGAGTTCTTATGGTAACAATTGTCATCATAGTCTCTCTTTCTTAAAATGCATTTGTATTCTTTAAAAGGCACCTAAAATATATCACTGGCCTCCTGAATACATCAAATGTCCTGTTATTTTCTGTCAGCAATAGTTGTAGTGGCCACTGCAAAGAAGTCTAGTCCTTACATTTATGGAGATGTGGAGATGATCTCTGTACAATAGCAACTGGGAGGGGCCACACTGAGATAACAATTAAGAATTGTCAAAAGTACTGTTGTCTTATACTTCAATGTGTAGCAACAACTCATCTAGGCCAACTTGTTCTTACGCCCTTGTTCTCTTTGTAGCTGTTTATAGGCATTGGTGTGGGAAAAATCTTAACAAGAAGTAAAGCTAGGTGCCACTGAAAAGAGGATGGTATAAGCCAGAAATAAATTTAAACATCCCTAGCGTATAACTCAGAACTAAGGATTTCTCTCTTTCTCCCCTTTCTTTAAGTAGAAAAGCTTAAATAGATCCCTTTTAAAACCCACTGTGTGTGGCTCTTACTGAAAAATATTTTATGTATTCATTAGCATCACTATTTTTCACCTAGTTATCAAATAGGAGTCATAAATTATATCCTATAAACAGTAATAGAAAGCTTATGCATCTGTTAGCACTGTAACTGTCCTTTTTTTTATTATGCTCTACACGTAGCATACATTTTTACAATAAATGTCCTCTTATTCCTCTCTTTCAGTACTCAGAAGGAGGCAGATGATGCATGCTCACTACTTTATTTGGATTTGGATTCACTTTTCCTTTGGAGCCTCTGAATTTTATCACCCATGTCAAAAAATCTGCCTCTGCAAAGAAGGGGCCAAGTTTGTAAACTGCTCTGGAGCCAATGTGACTGCTGCCCTCACCTTTCCTCCTGAGACAGAGCACTTGGATTTGTCCAGCAGTAATTTGTATTCTGTCCCAAGCAAAGCTCTGGACTCACTGTGGAAGTTACAAGTTCTTCTTCTCAGCGGGAACTACATTAGCAGGATTGAAGCAAGAGCATTTAGTTCCCTAGAGAGACTCCAGAAGCTTGACATTCAAAGAAATGAGATTACAGTGCTTGGAAGCAGCTTTTCAACAGGGCTCAACTCCCTCAGAGATCTCATTTTGTCCTACAACAGGCTCCAGAAACTTTACTACAGAAACTTTCAGAACTTTGAGAACCTCCAGAAACTCAACTTCCAGAACAACAACATCTCCTCCATAGAAACAGGGGCTTTTCGGAGTCTGACCCGCTTGAGGCAGCTTCATCTTCAAAATAATCACCTCCTCAGCCTCCATAATGGGGTCTTCTCCATGCTACAGCATTTAGAGGTTTTGAACTTGGAGGGCAACAGGATAAAGACCATTGCTCCTGGGATCTTTACTTCCTTGAACAGCCTCACACTACTTAACTTGGTACGTAATGAAATAGAGCATATCCGGTTCAAAACCTTCCTAACTATCCAAACTCCTGGGACTCATATCTTGCTCTCCTTCAATCCATGGTTTTGTGACTGTGACTTGCAGAGGGTCTTTGCAAAGTTGCACAGTGTCAGGAGGCTGATCTTGGATGACTATGACAACATGACATGCATGGAACCACACGTCCTAAGAAACCTGCCCCTGTCCTCTGTGGACACTCAGCTCTGCATTGCAGAGACTGTGACGGTTCTTGTCATTACTTTCACAGTATTCATTACTGTGGTGGCTGCCATTGTGATGGCTGAACGGAACAGGAAGAAAAGGACAGGAAAGCACTGGAGTGAGGAGAGCGAAATGTCTTATGAATCACAAGACTGACCTTGTCATTGTGAGCTTTCTCCAAAGCCTATGTTACTCAGGCATGTAATGAGCATGTTTGCTCAGACTTTGCTATTATAAGAAAACACTGGAGATTTTACCATGACTCTCAGCAGCTGGTGAAATGCCTCACCTGAAAAGAAAGGAACTGTTTAGAAACACGTCTTTAGAAAGGGCTTATTGGACAGGCTGTTTCTACCTCTAGGAAGAATTTGGCATTGCTTGTTTCTTGTGAATTTAGCATATGCTCTGGTGAAGAGGATGTTTGTACTGAGACATTCTGTTGTGCTACTGACTGCTGTTGCTGGAGATCATCGAAACAGATTAATTTAAATATCTAATTGTTTTTCATCATTTGGGATGTTCTCTTGTTGCTTTTGACTCAGCCTGGATGGTGAAAGCAACTTTGCATGCTTCATTTGCTGGTCCAGGTTCTCATCCCTGGTGGGGAGGGCTTGGCACAGATGTGAAAACAAAGCATGGGGATGGGAATGGAAAGCAGAAAGATCAATTCAACACATCACTGATTTGGGAACCACTCAGTACTCAGCCATTCCCTTTGCACATTCTCCTAACATCCACTGGCTACCTACCACCTTCAGTTCAACTAGTTGGGGGGTCACCAGGGAACAGAGATGTCAAATATGTCCTCTATTCCTCCACCCATGCCTCCTACCCCATCTGTAGGGAGGGATTGCTCTAGAAACAGCTGTAGAGATTATGCAGGGGAGACTGCCCACCAGTGAAGTAAGTTGCCTTTGGGTAGCTTTGATTCACCAGAGCACAACAGAATTGGCTTAAAGCAAGGAGGATCTTGTCCTTGGTTTAATCGGAGACCTTTTCTGCTTGTTCCTCTCTAGCCCGGTGATGAAGTGTCTTGGTTTCTAACAATGCAGAATAAAGTCAGATTTTTTTTCAAATCCCTGATTTTGACATTTTTGAAGTCCTAAAAACATTTATCTTCCTATTTGGCCTTGTAGATAACCCAACCTTTTAGAAAAGCCTAACCTGAAGTGCTGGGCTGCCTTGTGGCATCCTTTTCATTTTTTTGCCAGAATTATTTCATGCAATAAATCTTACACACTCTCAAAATGTATTTACAGCTAAGCTTAATAGGTTTTGCAACAGTGACATATTTTATAAATGCTTTATGCTGCAAATAATATATGAACTGTGTGCTAAGAAATGAATGAGCTTTCCCAAATGTTCACATTTTTGGTGTACACTAACAGAAATGACTGATTAAGAAAATTATAGAATTAGAGCTAGGGCTTTATCTGGGACAGTTCAGCGTAATGAGGATGACTTCAGAATGGCTATGCCAGTCTACTGCAGCTGATGAACAGTATATATTCACTGAAATGTTAATTTTAATGACCAGCAGTCAAGTTACTCCTCTTCATGTAGCCTGGTTCAACTGAGAGCAGCCAGACTGTGAAACAACACTTGAGTTGCTCTGTCTACACTGGTGCTGTACTTACCTATAACTGGCAGTAAGATTACTGAGGGAACTGGCAGGTCCCCTCAGTATCCCATGATTTTTAGTGTTGTGGTAAATAGAGTTCCTCAACAAATTCTTTTCTAGGAACAGTGAGAGAATGTGTCTGTCTTGTGTGGATACAGAGAAGGAACTGTAAGAAGGCATTTACCCTGTGGAGTGCTTATATTAGCATCATCTGTGCTAAGCTCCAGAGAGTCACCCCACACTCTGTTTTTCTCTTTCAGTTTTCCAAACACACTAAATTATTAAATATTTGCTAAGTGTTTCAGTATCCTTGGGGAGAAGGTATTCTACATGTGCAAAGTGTTATTGTGTTATATGATGCCACAATGGCAGTGGGAGAAAGGCAGAAGGCATGGTAGACTTGCAGCGTATGCATTTGATGAAGTAAGCCTGCTGCTTGTGAAAGCTTATGCTATCCATCTCTGATTTAGTTTAAGGCCTTGTCTTCAAGGGGGAAAATTGACTGCAATTTTTATAGAAGTTAGCTACCATATTTACTCAAATCAAAGATGACTCTGAGTTCAAGAGGACTCTTCAATAATTAGATTCCATACGTGGAAAATGTATATATTTGTTATAATTGTCCATATATACAACCTAATTATTGGAGGATCATTTTAAATTCATCCCCCACACCACTGCAGGGGGGCAGGTGGTGTGGGGAGGTCAAGCAGCTTGCCTCCTGCTTGTGTCTGCCCCACTCCCACCTGCCTTCCCCCTCTGCCTTTATTCCCATTCCTCCTCCTCTCCATCCTGTCTCCCTCTCCCTCCAACTTTTATTCCGCACCAGCAGGCTCTGTGCAGGGTGCCTGGGGAACTGAACATGGCCCCAGCCCAGCCCCATAGCATGTGAGCTGCTATGATGGGCAGAGCCTGCCAGCATGGAGCAAGGGCAAAGAAGGAGAGGGACAAGCAGAGGCTGTGTATCGGGGAGTTGGGGTGGGGAAAGGGCTACATGGGGGACAGGCAGGGTGCAGAGACAATGGGGGTGGTGGTATGAAGCTATGACCCTGACCCTAGGAAGGGGCTGGAGCCTGAGCCACAGCAACCCCCTACCCCTTCTTCCCTCTGTCCTTGTATCAATTATAAGATGAGGAGCTTTTCCCCCCATGTTAAATGGGACAAAAACATCTTCTCTTAGGATCAAGTAAATATGGGCTATTTCAGAATAACTGCCCCATATAGATACTGTTCTTGCATAAGAGAAATGTATTCTAGAATACTTATCCTGCTTTCTGAGCAAGGTAATTATTTCAGAATAGTTATTTATCCCTGAATAATGTACCCCCACAGGGGAGCTATTCCAGATTGGAGTTTTGGCAGGTTCTGGGTGGAGGGAGATGTTGAGGGATCAGGGGAGGCTGGCAGGTCTGCAAGGTTGGTAGGCAGGCTAGCAGGGGCTGCCGAGTCAGGAGAGGAGGGGTCAGGGGGCTAAAAACAGCCCAGTCAGGGTTGGGGGAGTGGGAATAGTGCAGCCCTGGGGCCAGGGTGAGCCACTGGATTTTCCCAGCCCAAGGCCGTGCTGTGAACATGTACAGACACGTTCCAGAGATCAGGGTAACCCTTTCTTAGATTGAGTTAACCCAATCTTGGTCTAAGTTAGTACACCTACTCAGATGAACTAATTTAGATTGGGCACACCATTTTTGGATGATTTAAGTTGCCTGCATGCCTGTACAATTAGGCATTTAGATCCCTAACCCTGGTTAGGTCAATCTAAATGTAATGAAATATGTTGCTCTGAAATAGCAGGGTCAGCCAGTTTCCTCATTTAGACATGGTGTAATTGAAATTTATTATTTTTTTTGCTACTTGGGTTCTACCATTAGCAGGAATCTTGACCTTCAGACTGAATTGACTAATAGAATCAGAAACGCAGGTAAGAATTTCAAGCTGTTGCAGAAAAGTGCATGGAATAACAGCAAGCTGTCAGCTAAGGTGAAGGTACAAATCTATGAGACCTGTGTGCTGTTATCCCTGTTTTATGGTTCAGAAAAGTGGACTACATACGCTAGGCATATCAAGAGACTAAATAGCTTGCACATGAGATGTCTGTGTAAGATCCTGGAAATAAAATGGGAAGACAGAATATCAAACACAGAGGTACTAGAGCATGGAGGATTTACACACTTGGAAAGCACTATCAAGAAGAAAAGTTTGCAATGCATTGGCCACATGTGGAGAATGGAAGACAGTATCCCCACAAATATTTTGTATAGTGAGAGTCAAGATCACTCTAGGAAGTGGAGTTGCCCTCTATGGTGGTACCATGATGTGTGAAAAAATGATATGAAGTCGTTCAACACCAATGTAGAAAGCTGGGAGGAGCACACAGAATCCCATCAGATCTGGAGGGAACATCTGGCACTGGGTGCAGCTCAACATGGAGTGGCTTTGATCCAGATGATGGAAGCAAAGCAAGGAAAAAAAAAGCAGCATGCTGTAAATTTTTGGAGTCCAATTCGGACAACATATGGATTTGTGAAACTTGTAACAAGCTGTGCCACTAACATTGGGCTTCTCATCTACAAATGGATTCATCAGGCATCTACCTAGACCTCTTACAGATACACTGTGATCCAGAGGATTGACAGTTGCCTTCTAATTGAAAATGGATAGAAAATCATCCCCACATATTAGTAATGTGTTGTAGACAAATTCTTCAGTGGAACTTGGATACCTGTTGTAAAAAATATTATCCGGGGGTATTTGTTGTAGTTGCAAAAATTATATAAGCATCCATATTTTACTTCATGTACAACACAGTTGTTCTCCTTATGAGAACAGCTCTCTTTTCTTTCAGTGTTCTGCTTTTTGTTTCAACTACTGAACCTGTAAACCTATCTGGGTGCATATGCATTTTCAATGTTTTGTGGTGTAGCAGACATAATAGTTTGAATATATCAGATCTGACTACAATAAAGCATATGGCAAGACATACTGTCAAAAGGATTGGAGACTTAGACATTTTTACACAATACACTCGATCCATCTAAGCCATTTTCAGCTCCCTGCCTTCTTCATCCTACATCTGTTTCCTGTGCATTCTGATATGTGCAGACCTAGCCTTATGAATTTATCTCTTCAGCAATCTTCAGCAATCCCTTGCGGTCAAGGATAATTGTCTTCCGTGATGGTTTTATCTGAGGGTCCAAAGATGGCTGACGAGGCCAATCTGGAATCGACAGACTCTGGTGGAACTTGGGCACGTGTCTCCATGGGGGGTGAGTGGCTCCAGATTCTTGATTCTGTCCACAAACCACTTTTTCTGTAGCTCCTTTTTCTTCTCCTGTTGTTGTTGTTGTATGGTTTCAAATTACTGAGATCCTTGCAACAGACTTCCTCTGTTTGGGGTGGTACTGGGTAGTCTACTACGAGTTGGTGTCAATGTTGCATTTTTTCAAGTGGGCCTTGAGGACATCCTTGAAGTGCTTTCTGTGTCGTCCTCTTAAGCGTACGCCTTGACTGAGCTGGGAGAATAAAACTTGCTTCAGGA